CAACAATAAGAAAACAAAAAAAAAAAACTCAACAATAAGAAAACAAAAATGCATTGACCCATGTTAAAAAAAAAAAAAAAAGAAAAGGAACAAGTTTTTTTAATGGACAAAAGATTTGAAGAGACACTTCACCACAGGAGATACACAAATGGCAAATAGCACATGAAACCAATGTAAAGCACCGCTCACTACATACCTATTAGCAAACCTGAAGTAATACTTTCTCACAGTTAGCTGGCAAAATGCCGAGCGGCAGAAAACAGCACTGGCGGGATGTGCAGTGGTGTACCCGCTGCGGAAGACAGTCTGGCAATTTCTAATAAAGGTACACTTTAGTCTGACTCCTGAGGATTTACCCTAGAAAATGAAAGCTGACATTCACCCAGGACATCTATTTGAATGTTGATGGCCGCTTTCCTAGTGGAACCCCAAACTGGAAACAACCAAAATGTACCTCATTAGGTGAATGGTTAAACAAACTGGACATCCATCCCATGGAATAAAACTCAGCAATAAAACGAAACCAAGTATCAATGCCTTCAACCACACGGACGGATCTCCAACACATTCTGCTTGGCGAAAGGTACTGTAGTATGGCTGAATTTAAATGCTGTCCTCCAAGAGGCAAAACTGTCATGACGGGAACAGTCAGTGGTGGCAGGTTTATGGGTGGGAGGAAGGCGTGTGTATCTGGTGGTGGCACTAGGGGGGTTTGGGGATGTTGGATCTGTTCTGTGGTGGTGGTGGTGGTGGTGGTGGTTACAGGAACCGGAAGCTGTGTTGAATCTCATTGACTTATGTACCTAAAGAAAAAGAAAAGTCAGGTTCATGCTATGAGAATTTAAAAACATAAAGCATTAGAATGTTCTTAGGCAGCTTGACACATAGTTTACAGGTGAGTGGAATTTTCATTTAAAGCTTGTACGGGTGGAGGACTCCATAAGGTTTTCAGAGCTCAGTTTTAAGGTGGAACTTCTGGTCAAGATGGCACAGTATGTTGACACTTTGCTGCTTTCCCATCCTAAACCTCGAGCCCTGACCCCACCTGAAAACCAGCGGCAAAGATAGATAAACCATAAACAGAGAAAAGCAAACAGGTCCGGGCCGGCTGCAAAACAAGACAACTCCTGCTGTGGACCAGAAGCAACTCAGGAACGCAGAGCAATAAAAGAGATGGAAGCGACCGCCGGCTGGAATCTGGACCAGGAAGCGAGCAGTGGTGGCCAAGGGGATGAACGTGCAGAAGATAATACAGCGGTGCTCCTTTGCTCACCAAGCGGACGGGCCCCCGATAGCCCTGGGGAGACAAACCCCGCCCTCCAACAGAGCCTGCGGGGAGGGTGGGTGCAGGTGAGATTTCCCTGAGGTAACCTTTAAACTGGCTCATAACAAAGTCGGGTTGGGTGTAAAGAGACCAACATCATGTGCCCAGGTTCCTTGGGTGCTCAATGCCGTGGCTGTGAAGTGTGGAGCCCAAACACCCTCATCTGGGGCTCTGCGCGTGGCTTTGAGAGCAAAGCTGCTTCCCGAGAATGCAGGCAAGAGCGGAAGTTTTCCTTCTGAGCGATATGATTTCAAACAGCTTTCTGACAGTCTATGATTTTCCAGAGGAAACTTTGTCTGAGTAAGAAAGCAAACAAAGAAGAGTTACTGTGACACTTGACAGTGGCAGTGTGGCATACTGTACGTTGTTACTTTGCAGCTCACTTCACCTGTGTCTGTTGTCCCCACCTGAAAAACAGCAGGGCACATTTGGTTACTTTCTCAATCCAAGCTCATTTTTCCTTTCTAAGCATCAAGGATGCAGGAGTCACAGAAAGAAAAACTCTTCCTGCTCAAAATAAGCCTGCAAACAAAACTTCCAAATCGAGTGAAGAAACGCAATGCTAAGGAAGAGCGCCAACAAAACCAACAATTAAAAGATGATGCAAACCTATTGGTGTCCTGAAAAACTGTAAATACTGATACACCTGGTGTTCATTTGAACTGTGAGTTTAGGTGTTTAATGTGAGCAGTTGTTACTTTGCTCACAACCTTTTGTACAAACACAAGTGTAGCAAAGGCTCTGTATTACTGGCTTGTATCCACATTGTCCATGAACAGTATGAAGGTTTTAGTAATGTTTCCTTTTTCTCTGTTGTTATCTATAGACACACATCTACACATACATCCATATGTATATATGTGTCTATATAAGGAGCCCTGGTGGCGTAGTGCCTAAGGCATTTGACCGCTGACCAGAAGGCTGGAGGTTCAAACCCAACAGCCACTCCTCGGAGGGAAGGTTGGCCAATCTACTTCCGTAGAGATACCGCTCTGGAAACCCGAGGAGGAGTAGCTATGAGTCGGATCCAAGTGGAAGGCAGTGCATTCGTTTTATAACGTAACATGGAGAAAAGACAGATAGACGTAGATATACACACAAATACATGAAAAGTGACTCACTCCCTGCCTGCGAGTCTGACCCGACTCATAGCGACCCTTCCTTGGGTTTCCGAGGCAGTATCACTACAGAAGTAGATTGCCCAGCCTTCCTTCCCAGGAGTGCCTGGTGGGTTTGAACCGCCAGCCTTCTGGTCAGCGGTCACATGCCTTAGGCGCTGTGCCACCAGAGCTCCCCAGACAGCCTTAGTTGTTGTTGTTGTTACGTGCCGTCGAGTCAGACTCGACTCATAGCGACCCCTCCTTGGGTTTCCGAGGCAGTATCACTACGGAAGTAGATTGCCCAACCTTCCTTCCGAGGAGTACCTGGTGAGTTTGAACCGCCAGCCTTCTGGTTAGCAGTCAAGTGCCTTAGGCACTATGCTACCAGGGCTCCTGCGCTTATATAGGAGACCCTCTCCTTCACCCACACCAAAGGAGTGGTGGCTGCACTAGCTGACGAGTCATTGATGAAGCAATGTCGCCACCTAGTGGCAATTTCCTACAACGGGCTTGTTTAATCAGAGACGAATCCTTTCACTTCTTTTTCAGGGACTCTGGCCACAGAAAGGACACCGACCTTGAACGAATTTGTACTACTTTTTGCTGTATTTGATGAAGGTTGGTGAGCTTCAATTTTAATTGTGGGCTCCTGGAAAAAAATAAAATATATTAACTTCATGCAGTACTTGAGATTGTGGGATATTATTGTTCAGAGGTGATTATGGAAAGATCATAAGCTACATTACTGTTCAGGATGCAAATGAAAGACAAGCACCGCCCCATAGGGTTTCCAAGGCTGTAACCATGACAGGAGCAGAGTGCCACAGCTTTCTCTTACAGAGCAGCTGGTGGCTTCCAACCACCGACCCTTTGCTGAGGTGCCAAATGCTTTAACCACTGTCCCACCAGGGCTCTATATGGACAAAAATATAAGACCCAAACCAAACCCATCACCATCAAGTCAATTCCGACTCATAGTGACCACCATTTGGTTTTCAAGGCGGTAAATCTTTACAGAGGTAGTTTGCCCTGTCTTCTTTTTATGGAGTGGTTGTTGGGTTTGAACCTCCAACCTTCAGGTTAGTAGTCAAATGCCTTAGGCGCTGCACCACCAGACCTCCTTATGGAAAACACAGGGAGGGGTAATCAGTTTGAACAAAAAATGACTGCCTTTTCATGATTGTCTTCTCTGTCCCACTCACGGACTTTGAGAAGATATGTCCTCTGTGACCACTTTGCTGAAAAGAAAATGAGAGTGTGCGTCATCTGCACCCCATGAGAGACTTATCTGCCTCTGTCTTTGCCTCCTGCATCATTAGGGAAAAGTTGGCACTCAGAAGCAGATGAATTCGTGCCACAGGGTGTGGACTCTGCATCCACTCGGTCCTGGCCGAAAATGTACACAGTTAACGGCTACGTAAACAGGTCTCTGCCAGGTACGTACATGCTCAAGAATCCTTGGGGTCTACTGAAATCGATGCCAGAACAAATCCCACAGATTCCTGGCCTCTTGCAGCTGATTGTTCCTCCAGTGCCATGAAAATGTGCATCAAGCTCACAATCAGATTTCTGAGTGGACAACCAAGGTTCATAATAAATGAAAATAAAAATTCCTGTGAAGGAAAATGACAGAATTCTATGAGAACATGAAATAAAAGAGTTTGACCTACACCAGAGAATCAAAGAAGGCTTCCCTGAGGATGATAGTGGTTAGTAAAGAGCGTGAAAAAGTTTTAGGAGCCAAAAGAGGTTGTTCAAATATTGCGTGAACCTCTCTCGGCCTTGGTTTCCTCTGCTGTAGGGTTGTGATGAGGAGTGTTATGGTTGCCTAGTGCCAATCTTGTGGGTTCCACCCATCTCTATCTAAACAGAAAGCCTGGTCTTTTTAATGATTGTGAGTTTCGTTGCACATTTCCCCCAGTCTCTGGGACCTCTCGTTGTGGCCCCTTTCAGAGCAGTCAGCAGTGGTAGCCAGACGCCACATAGTTCTTCTGCTCTCGGGGTTGTGCACGCTAGGGTTCATGAACCACTAGTCCTTTGGGATAATTGTTTCCTCGCATCTTTGATGTTCTTCACTCTTGTTTGGTCCAGACAGGCGAGACCAGTAGTTACATTTCAGATGGCCACTCCCAAGCTTTTAAGGTTCCAGTCACAGTTCACCAAACTAGGATGTAGGACATCATCATCTTTGTGGGCTATGGTCCTGAGCACACAGGCCCAGCGACTCATTCCCTCAAGGTGTTTTGTTGTGATGAAGAAGGTTCCGTAACTTTGCCCCCTGTATGCTCTACTATATTCATGGATGTATTTGCAGCACATACAGATACATATGTAGAAAGAGCCTCTGTCAAACCCATATACAGTTGTGGCTAACATTAAAATGTGTAAGGTCAGTTTGTCCATCTTGCACTAGAAAGTGTTTTCTATTTCAGATTTTATACTCTTTAGTTATGGCTGTCTTATTCCTAATTTACAGGTCTGATTGGATGTCACAGGAAGTCAGTCTATTGGCATGTGATTGGAATGGGCACCACCCCCGACGTGCATTCAATCTTACTTGAAGGTCATACATTTCTTGTGAGAAACCATCGCCAGGCCTCCTTGGAGATCTCACCAATAACCTTCCTTACTGCTCAGACACTCCTGATGGACCCTGGCCAGTTTCTACTGTTTTGTCATATCCCTTCCCACCAACATGGTAATATCTATGGGTCTCAAAAATGGATACTGTAAATATGCAGCTCTACTTTGAACGGGATTGACTGCACAGTGTTCAGGAATATAGTGTGTTGCATAGAGTGGCATTCTAGACTTAGAATTATTTCGCACCTACGGAGATCGCCCAGTTCCTAGTTTCCAGAGTAAAAATTGTATCTTGAGTATTAAAATGAATGCAGAGTATTAGTAGCACCTGGTGATGTTTTGTTAAATGCCTGTGGTAGGGGGAGGGGTTAGGGTTAGGGATGAGGAAGGTGGGGAAAAAGAAGAAGACAATATGTCATTGGCTTCATAGCCTGATCTCATTAATTAGACTTCAATACTGTGGAACTGCAGGTAGTAGCTGAAGAGATGTTTTAGGAGAAATTTAGGGAAATGGGAGGTGGGGTAGAACAGGGTATCAGAGCCATCAATAACAGCAACTGCTGGAAGATATCCTAGTGCTCAAGTAGGAGACTGGAGCCACCTGGGGAACCCAGGGCCTGTCAGGTGACAGCAGATACCGGGAGAAGCGACATGGACGCCTAAATCAGTGCGCATACGGGAGGTTTTCCAGGACTACTCGATGGGGAGCTTGCAAAGTGTAAAAAGTCCAAACAAGGCCCTGTGCTCAGAGGGATAGGCTGAGTGGAGATGTACTTTGAGCCTATCTGTGTTGAAGAAAAGTTTGGTTTGTTGTCGTTTGTTTCTTTTGATAGCTTCTCTCCCACTCACTTTAGTCCTCATTGTTCAGTCAACTTGGACCTTGGGCTGAACTGTGTTTAAGGCCATGTGAACTCCAGAGCGGTTGGTTGGTTGCTGCGCCCCATCATCAGTAAAGAAACTCCCTTCTTAAGAGTATTTGATTTACAAAAGAGCCCTGTGGCCTAGATAGGGCAGGGATTATTATCACCCACATTTGATAAAGGCTGCGGATGACACTGATCTCGCTGAAGGCAACTGATCAGAGGCAGACATGCGCTAAAAATATGTGACAGAGTTCCGTGATTCTAAGTTGTACCCTTTCATGTTTTTTATTAATTTCGACTATGTTTTAAATGTGTATGTACACTAGCATTTTTTTTTTCCTGAGAGCTGTTATTAAATTTGTGGCTTGTATTTTGATTCAATGCAGTAAGTATAGAAATCATTGGGTCACCATGTGGGATGGGGACTTGGGCTGGCCTCGATCTGACCTAGGCTTTCAAATGCTGAAAACAGACATTCCTCAAGTCTCCTTGGTTGTAATTTGGGGAGTGGTAGGCTCCTACTTCCGTAGTGATACTGCCTCGGAAACCCAAGGAGGGGTCGCTATGAGTCGGGTTTGACTCGACGGCACATAACCACCACAACAACAAGGCTCAGAGCCAGTTCTAGAAGTGAAAGGTTCATATGTATGACAACAGCAAATGAGTGAGTTGGGAAAAAGCAGTAACACGTGTGGGAGATGAATCCGGCAGAGGATTCGCCAGCAGAAGGGAAATGAGGAGTGCCAAGACCAGAAAGAAACCAGCCAGGACCAGATGCGGGCCAGACGAGCCGTGTACAAGTGGCAACAGATATTGGTGTGCAGAGGGGGTGGGGCACTTAAGAGAGAGCCTTGAAGAATGAATGATATCATAGAAGTAAAGCAAGGAAATCTTGCAGGAATCTGATACCGTTTGATTTGTCGGAATCACAGATGGCATGGAAGCTTATGTCCGAGTAGAGCCTTGCCCAGAAGAAGTCGAAGTACGGAGGAAAAATAAGGAAGAGGAAGATTTTGAGGATGACCTCTATGATTCTGACATGGACGTGGTCAGGTTCGATGATGACACCCCTTCTTTTCTCCAAATTCGCTCATTTGCCAAGAAGCACCCTAAAACTTGGATCCATTACATCGCTGCTGAGGAACAGGACTGGGACTATGCACCCGGAGTCCTGCCCCCCACTGACAGGTAAGCACCTTGGGACTCTTCCTCCATTTTTCTAAACAAATCCTCAGGCCGTGTGTAGGGTTAGGTTCGTGTACGGCATCGGATGGCGGCGACATTAACACGTTTGGAAGCTAATGTAGCTCACTCCTGTCCTGTATAAAATCATACCAATTGTTTTACAGTTGGATTCCAGCCTCCTGTCCCTCACCTAGAATTTTCCGTCCCACATCCTCCTCTTTTTCCCTCTCCTACAGAAGTCATAAAAATCTGTATTTAAGCAACGGTACTCAGCGGATTGGTAAGAAGTACAAAAAGGTCCGATTTATTGCATACACAGATGAAACCTTTCGGACTCGTGAAACTATTCAATATGAATCAGGAATCCTGGGCCCTTTACTTTATGGAGAAGTTGGAGACACATTGTTGGTAAGTTTAGAGAGGATATGAGGGTGGGGAAGAAGAAAATGTCTGGAGGCTTTTAAGTTTCTAAAATACTTCATAATTCAGCCTTGTCCATAGTGGGCATGATCTTTTAAAAATTATAAATGTTACACAAATAAATGCTGATTGTAAAATATGAGTAAAATTTAAAAACTAAATATGCGTATATGGAATAAAAACTTCATGTCACCCAGTAACCTGCTACTCGGAAACAGTTACTGCTCAGGCTTTGACATTTCCAGACGTGTGTATGTGCCCTTCCAGAACTTCTCCCGTTAATCATGGAGTCAGCACATTATGGCTTGGGAGCTAAATTTGGCTTGTGGACTGGTTTTTGGACAGTCTATGAGCTTAGAATGGATTTTCCTTTGTTTGTTTGTTTTTCTTTTTTTAAAAAAATCTTTTATTGTGGTGAAATGTATAGAAGAGAACATTTGCCATTTCAACTATTTACATATGTGTGATCCAGCGCCCTTAATCACATTCATCATGTTGTGTAACCGTCACCACTATCCAGTTCCAAATTTTTATCTTTTCAAAGGGTTGTAAGGAAAAGATGAATATGTGACAGAGACCAGATAGACCTTGCAAAACCTAGAGTGTTGACTATTCTGCCCTTTCCAGATAATTTTTGTATTAAGGATGCTTAATCTGCAAGTTTAATCCACCAGCCACTCCTCGGAAGGAAGAAGGGGCAATCTACTTCCGTAGTGATACTGCCTCGGAAACCCAAGGAGGGGTCGCTATGAGTCGGGTCTGACTCGACGGCACATAACAACAACAACAAAATCTGCAAGTAACAGAATACTCAATGAAGCACGATTTAAACAAATAGGAGTTTATGTTTTTCACAAGGAATTTGGAGATAGATGGTGGGTTGCATCAGGATGTCCTAAAGGATGCCAGTTCTTACAGGGCAGCTCCGTTACCTAAAGCGACAGTGCCTTTCAACAGTTCTGCCCCAAAAGAGACTCTGAAGTTCTTTGTCAATATACTGTCAATATAGTGCTGCAACTGTTTTTGAATTATCTTTAGTAAGATTTGACGTGCATGTGATATTAACGATGTTGTTCAATAATTTCCACATTCTGTGGGATCACCTTTCTTTGGAATGGGCACAAATATGGATCTCTTCCAGTCAGTGGGCCTGGTTGCTGTCTTCCAAATCTCTTGGCATAACTGAGTGCTGAGTGAGTGCCTCCAGCAGAACATCTGTTTGTTGAAACATCTCAATGGGTATTCAGTCAATTCCTGGAGCCTTGTTTTTTTTTACCAATTCCTTCAGTGCAGCTTGGACTTCTTCCTTCGGTACCATTGGTTCTTGATCATATGCTACCTCCTGAAATGGCTGAACATCGACCCGTTCTTTTTGGTACAGTGATTCTGTGTATTCCTTCCATCTTCTTTTGATGCTTCCTGCATCATTCAATATTTTGCCCATAAAATCTCTCAATATTGCAACTCGAGGCTTAATTTTTTTTCTTCAGTTCTTTCAGCTTGAAAAATGCTAAGCATGTTCTTCCCTTTCAGTTTTCCAACTCCAAGTCTTCGCACATTCCATTATAGCAATTGGCTTTGTCTTCTTGAGCTGCTCTGTGAAATCTTCTGTTTAGTTCTTTTATGTTGTCATATCTTCCATTTGCTTTAGCTATGTTCCACTCAAGGGCAAGTTTCAGAGTCTCTTCTGACCCATTTTGGCCTTTTCTTCCTTTCTCATCTTTTTCATGACCTCTTGCTTTCTTCATGGATGATGTTCTTGATGTCATCCCACAGTTCCTCTGGTTTTCGGTCACTGGTGTTCAATGCATCAAACCTATTCTTTAGATGGTCTCTAAATTCAAGAGTGATATATTTAAGATCATATTTTTGCCCTCATGGACTTGTTTTAACTGTCCAACTTCAAGTTGAACTTGCATATGAGCAGTTGATGGTCTGTTCCACAATCAGCTCCTGGCCTTGGCTGAAGGTATTGAGTTTCTCCATTGCCTCTTGCCACAGATGTAGTCAATCTGACTCCCGTGTAGTCCATCTGGTGAACTCCACGTGTAAACCCACCATTTGTGCTGTTGCAAAAACGTGTTTTCAATGAGTAAGTCATTGGTTTTGCAAAAATTATATCTTGCGATCTCCAGCTTTATTTCTGTCACCAAGGCAAAATTTTCCAACTACTGGTGATTCTTCTTTGTTTCCAACTTTTACATTCCAGTAGGTAATAAGCGTATAAAAAGTTGAATTGGCAAAAGTTATGTGATAGATATATTTACAACAATGACAAAAAAGGGCAAGACTTGTACACTGCAAACTATGTCTTTGTTGAGATAATTGTAGTACTTGTATGTGTTCATTTTTTATATTTAGATCATTGATCCATTTGTAGTTTATTCTTGCATATGGTGTGAGTTATCAATCCTATTTTTTTTTTTTTCCCCAGCGACTAACCAGTTGTCCCAGCACCATTTACTAAAAATAATTCATCTTTGCCTCAGGGATTTGAGATGTCACCTTTATCATATAATTGTTACATGTACTTGTGTCTATTTCTGGATTTTCTACAGGAAGTAGAAAGGGAATCTAGACAACTTGAATCTGACTGTAAAATTTTATTGAGAATAACCAGTAAACAAGAAGAGGTGTTAGGATTAGCTTTGAGCAGATTTTAACAACAAAGAATATGATCACGTGTGCATATAAATGGGTAGATTTGATGGTGGGAAGATGAGACAGTTCTGTTCTTTTCTCAGTGAGAGAAAAAAAAAAAAAAAAGCCCCTGAGAGTGAGGAGGAGCAAGCAGATATTAAATAGTCAGCTACAGGGCTGGGAAGGTGTGTTGCTAGGCAAACATCATAGGATACCAGGTAGTTTAGGTGGTCATTGGAGATCTGTGGTCATGAATTTAAAGAGGCTAGTTGGGAGCTCTGGTAGCATAGTGGCTAAGACACTTGCCTGCTAACCAGACGGCTGGCGGTTCAAACCCACCAGCCACTCCTTGGAAGGA